TTTTTGACTTTTGTTGACCTATATCTTTTGACCTCTATTATGTAGGAACTTGACATTTGGAACATAACGTAACATTTTGAATATTGACTAACTTATTCAAAAAAAATTGAGTTGGGCGTGGCACTTTCGGGGTAAATTACTCATTATTGACATTTTTAGCAAGGTGCATAACTCGCAAAGTATACATTTGTTCAAAATGGAACTTTTTACACAATTACCTCATATTTTAAGCCACTTTGTCTTAGAATTTTGGTTGTTTCCGCTTCATAGTTCAAAAAAAGGAACAGGTTTTGGAAATTCAAAATTTTCAATTTTTGACCTTAACCTTTGTTGACCTTGACCTTTGTAGGATCAAACGTCATTGGCATTGGCTATCTATTTATACTTTTATATTTGCTGTTCTAAGTCAACTTCTGGTTTTATAGTCGTTAGCAATTTGAAATTTTAATGGCGTATATCTCTTGATCTTGACCTTTTTAGACCTTCTCCTTTACAAGATCAAAGGTCATTGATCTTGGCTATCTGCTGATACTTTCATTTGTGAGGTCTGACGTCTACTTCCGGTATTAGAATCTTCTAAAAAATGAAAATTTCTCAACTTTAGACTGTTCTTGCACATGATCTAATTATCGTGAAAGGTTGATTTTTTCGGGGTCTTTTGCAATTTGCTACATTTGCAAAGTCCCACTCTGTGCCACGAGTGGCTCTAGTTGTGGGACTTTGCTTTCAGCAAAGTCCCAGTTTGTTATCGAATTGTCAATTCTTTTTTTTTTTTTTTTTTTTCGATTTTTACACACCTTCCTGAGCTTAGACTACAATAGTTGCAGCAACCATTCAACATTCACGAACCTTAGATATAGGCGACGATGTGCATAAATATATTTTGGATCTTTTTTGCAAAACCGGAAGTGCCACAGTTCAATATATGCAAGAATAGATAATCGGCTCTAGAAGTCGTATTTTTCGGTCGATTTTCTTTGGGTTGCATTTTTGGAATCTACTGGCA